GAGCGCGGAGGAGTACCTGCGGTCCTACGCGCAGCTGCCGGGCATCGGCCCACGCGGGGAGGAGGACCGCGCGGGACGGCAACCTTTTCTGCGCCTGCCCCTGCAGGGCTCATTCCGCTTCCCACGGATCGATGCGATTCGAGGGCTTCCGACTCCGATCCGCTTCGACTTCGGACTCCGATTTGGACGCCGATTCCTTACTGGAGGCATACTAATTAGCCTGCCGATTTCCGCCGATTCGACTTCCCGACTCGGCTGCCGATTTCCGCCGGCCCGACGCATTTCGATCGCCGATCCGGCTCATCGATCCGATTCTGGGCCCTCCTGCCCCTGCAGAGGAGGCGTTCCATGCGGGGCGGGAAACTGACCACAGTCACTGCTTCTTGTTTGCGCCGCCTTCCAGCCGGCTGAAAAAGAAGCAGTGGCTGTGGTCATTTCCCTGGTGCCAAGCCTAACGAAAATGACCACAACCACTGCTTTGTTTCTGCTGGCTGGAAGCCGGCAACAAAAGAAGAGCAGTGGCTGTGGTCGTTTTGCCGTCCCGTAGCCTTCGCGTGTCGAAGGAGTTGTCATCTCTTCCTAGGCTTCAGTCGGGCCCGTCCCTCTACAGGGGGAAGATTCAAGAGTAGTCAAAAAATGATCTGGGGACGATTGTTGAGCATTTCTTGGCCATTTGGGGGCATTTTTTGACTATGTTTCATGTTTCGTCGAAAATCCCCCTGTAGGAGGACAGGCCCGACTTAATCCTAGGCGGGAGGCGGCGGAAGGTCGAAGGGAAGGTGGCGGAAGTCTAGACCTCCTACACATGGGGTCGGAGGATCCCGCCGTATCGCCGATGCATCGCCGATGTGGCTCGACGTGGAGCCCCATTTTCTCCGCGCTGGCGTCGCCGATGCACCGCCGACGTCGCCGATGTGTCGCCGATGCATCGCCGATGCATCCCCGATGCGGCGCGAGCCTCCGACCCCATCCAGGAGGCCTCTCGCTCGCGCCGTGTTCGGGGCGATGCCGTTTTGTGCTGCCTTGTTGCTTCCCCGTTGTGGCTTGCAGAACACCGAAGATGCGAAAACGGTTGAACACCGCCCCCAGGTATTCTGACTTCTGGTTGCCGCAGATGGCCCAATATCAAGCAGTGGCGAAGCGTCCTGGTTCGCCGATTGCCCTATCAAGCCATTTTATAAGAACCGTCTGTGGTTTCCGCGAAATGTTCCTAGAACATTTCTGGCGGAGCCCGTCTTGTTTTACCACCTCGGGTGTATGATCTAAAATGATTTTTCGTTCTTCGAACATTTCGGGGTTTTAAGAACATTTCGTGGTAGGACTGTAGGAATGCTGGGACGGTCGGTCCCTGCTCAGCAAGAGATGCCTCAAGACAGGCGGCGCAAGACAACCCCAAGAGGATTGTTCTTGTCCTTAGAACATGTCGGGGTTCTGAGAACACTTCGTGGTAGGACTGTAGGAATGTCGGGGCGGTCGGTCCCTGCTCAGCAAGAGAGGCCTCAAGACAGGCGCGAGGCAGCCCGAGAGGAGGTGTGCGGGAGGCACCGTGGCCTCCGACGCCCAGGTGGGCAGAGAAGCCAAGAGCGCGGCACGGCAGCGCCAGGTGGCGGCTCTCAGAGAGAGCCCCGTGCCAGCCGGCCCCAAACATATCGCAGGAGGAGGAGGAGGACGAGGACGGGAGTAGAGGAGGAGGAGGAGGAGGAGGAGGAGGAGGAGGAGGAGGAGGAGGAGGAGGAGGAGGGATGGAGGAGGAGGAGGGATGGAGGAGGAGGAGGACGCGGACATTCGCACGAGGAGGAGGAGGAGGAGGAGGAGGAACATTAGCAGGAGGAGGAGGAGGAGGACGCAGACGCAGGGAGAGAACGAACGACGAGGCGACGGTAGAGAGGTCCCCAGAGGTCCCTGGACCCCGACTTCGGATCCGCCCTGCCGGCGATCCCATTCGTCGGGAGGAGATGCTCGCCCTGCCTTTCAGACTCCTCTGGTGTCGATGTCCGCCTCACTCCTCCTAGTTTGGACAGTTTTGTGGAAACTCCACTAAGGTTCCACACGTTGTAGAATGTTTCAAAGAGCTGCGGAACCTTCAACAAAACTAAGGCGAACATTTGCGCCCTGGTTTTCTGAGACGGGAAGTTCCGTCTTACGGTTTTGCATCCTACGGGATGCATTCCAAACACAAGCGTACGTCGGAAAATTTACCGAAGTACGGCGGATCGCGAGTCAGAGGATGCGAGGTCCCCAGAGGTCCCGGCTCTGGAGGCCTCCGCGGAGGCATGGCAAGGGCCAGAAGCGTCCGAAGGAATCTGGGCGTTGCAATTTCTAATGCTGGGCTTGTTCGATTGGTTTCGGGCCCCGGCACCCTCGCATATCAATCCGGCTCCAAAACTTGCCGCAGAAAGATGGGGCCTAGAGCTAGGAGCTCAAGCCCTGATGTTCAGCGATGATGCATGTTCGCAACGTCGGATCTCAGGATCGACCTTCGAGCCCAGGCCCCCGACGTCATGACTTTTTCACAACATCCACCCCCAGAGGTCTCGACCAGTTTCTCGGGACCGGTTTTTCACCCCGAATAGTTGCTGGACGACCCCGAGGCCCAGTAAGGCCCCGCAGAGGCCGAGAATAGCAGAAAGGTTCCCGCCGTGATTTTCTCACGACTCGATGGGGTCATTACCAGCTTGAAACATCTACCCCTATCCCTATATGTCTGGCATCGCCTTACCTCGGTGCTGATCTTAGGGATGCGCCCTCAGCTTCTGAGAGCACATCCCTAAGGTCATCGCCTTGGACTTGCCGATCGCAAGGATAGGAATACAGTCGGACCGAGGTATAAGATCGAGGTCGGTTCGGGGAGGGCACTCTATAATGTTATTCCTGTCTGTTGGATGTTCTTGTGCACCCTGGGGGGTCCCCCTGGATGTTCTGCGCGTTTTGGCCGGCGGAGAGCCTCGTGTCCTTGAGGCATGCTCTTCTGCACTGGGTCCGAGTGTAAGTCCGAGGCCGGGAGTTGGCCAGGGAGGGCTGACGTCACAAAAATCAGTCGGCTACACGCAGGAGTGACCCTTCACCGGAGCGACCTGGTGCGGGCTCACCGGGGTCCCCCCGGTCGCTGAGCCCGACGCGATCAGTGCTGCTTGCGCGCTTGGATTTGGCCACACTGCGTCCCTTTAATCCGCGCACCAAGGGTCGGGATTTGGATTTGGCCACACTGCGTGTAGCCGAATCAACCCGCACAGTAAGGATGGGCAACCTTCCCAAGGGTGCCCTTACATCCTTCCCTCCTCGGTCCATCCTTGGCCACTTTCGTTGGCCGCGCCCCGCGCGAAAAGTGTCGAGATGGCCCTCCAGGGCCCCTGCATCCTTACCGCGCCTCTTCGTGATGCGGGCCGGCTGTCAAGGCCACTACTGCCTAGTGCCACCTTTGCGTGTAGCCCAACCAAGCGTGTAGCCGAGTCCAGCTGGCGTGTAGCCAAACCAAGCTGGCGTGTGGAGCCTAGGGCCGCTCATTGCACGAGCATTTTCTTGGGGTGGAGGGCACAGGGTGAAATCTGACATGCCGCTTCGATTGGCTTTCGAGGCTCGAACCTGCAAGGGGTGAATGTCAAGACGGATTGTTTTTTTGGGTGCTAATGCCCATATGGATTTCACCCTGAGCACCCCACCCTAATCGGGCATAGCCAGGACCCCAGGTAAGGGGACCTGGTTAGTGGTAGGGCCCTGGGGCCCTTCGATTGCCCAGAATCACGAAACCAGGTCTGCCGCAGCTGGTTCTCTTCGGGTGTTGGCAGTTCCGGTCAGTGGAACGGGGCGGTGGGGAGTCCCCCAGTACACATCACTAAACCAGGCTCCACTAAACCCAGCTCTGCCAACGCCCGACCTAAGAAAATGCAAAAGCCCATATGGATCTCACCCTGAGCCCTCCACCCGACAGCCAAGACGCTGAAATAAGAAACAGTTTGGATTCGGAAGGGGCTCGATGCTCCTCAGGTCCTTCCATGGCTGGTCCTCTGGCCCGCCTCGGTCACGCAGGCGCTGCTGAGGTCAAGCAGGGGCTTCGTTCCTTACTTGTCGCTCCTTCTTTCAGCAGCCCGACTGTAGTCCCTCTTGGGGGGGGTCTTTTGGGGCTCCTTGGCGGCGTCTTGGAGCCCCCTTGGGCCTCTTGGGGGGCTCTTCCTCATTTGTCATTCCTTCTTTCAGCAGCCCGACTGTAAGTCAGCCACGCGCAGAGGGGGGTGGGGGGAGGGGGGAGGACTTCTTAGAAGCACCCCTGCCTCTTAGAAGGCGCGTGCCTTCTCTATGGAAGTAAGGCAGGCACCTTCTAAGAAGCAGCCTCCTTCTAAGAAGCCCTCCTCCTCCTCCTCCTCCTCCTCCTCCTCCTCGTCCTCCTCCTCCTCCTCCTCCTCCTCCTCCTCCTCCTCCTCCTCCAGTGAAAAGGGTGCAGGGGAGAGCGGGATATTTTGGCCACGCCTCCGCTCGAAGACATGCTTCAGATATACGCTGACTGCATGCGAACGCCTGGCGGGATATTTTGGCCACGCCTCCGCTCGAAGGCATACCACTCTTCACAGAGCGCCGCCGCGTGCCTGCATTCTCCGCAGCCTTTGGCTTAGAGAAGGCGGCGCGCCCGCCGAACTGTCGACAGAGATTGAGGCGAGACCAGTCAAAGTTCAGCACATCTCAGCATGGTTATGATGACGATCATTTCTCTTGTGCGTGCTGCCTGGCCGTTCGGCCGCAAGGAGGAGGAGAGCACCAGAGGTCTTTCGACTCTGGTAGCGGAGCCGGTTGGCTCTGCAGGGTCGGCTGCAGTTCCGGCCGGCTCTGCGTGCGACGCGGGCGGCGAGAGGCCGCAGCGTGGCGACCACGGCAATGGGGTGGAGTCGAGCTCAAGGCGTTGTACCTGCTGTGCGACGACCGCTCCATGTGCGGCCTGCCCCGTGCAGGCCACGACATCATCAAGTACTGGATGCTCTTCCTCTTCGACGAGTTCGACGCCGAGCAAGATCGTGTTGCTCATCGGTCTCCTCGGCATCCTGATCAACGTAGCGAGCTCGGCGGAGCCCCTGGGCTTCAGGCCCATGACGCCGCAGCGCGGCCAGCGCATCGGCGAGTCGCGGCTGCCGGCGCCGCAGTGGGGCCAACCCCACGAGCAGAACGTGCAGGGCCTGCCGGCGGCGGAGCTGGCCCAGCAGAGCACGTCGAAGGTCCCGCCGTTCTGGGCGCCGTACCTTGAGCAGCGCGGGTACCCCTTCAGGCTGTGGGTCCAGGACGTGATGCTGTGGTGCGCGGCGACGGAGCTGCAGCAGCACCAGCGCGGCCCGGCGATCGTCCAGCGGCTCGGCGGCACGGCGAGGGACCTCTGCCGCGAAGTGCCGGTCGAGGCCATTGCGCACGGCAGGTTCGACCAGCTGGGCAACCTGGTCGAGGACGGAGTGCAGATGCTGATCACTGGGCTCCGGCGGCGCTTTGGCCCGCTCGACGTCCAGTCGTCGATCAGCACCATCGTCGAGCTGCTCACCTTCCGCAGGCAGGAGCGGGAGAGCGTCGACGACGCGATCACGCGCTTCGAGGCGCTGCGCGCCCGAGTGGCGCAGCTGGACGACCCGTTCGTGCTGCCGACGCCGGTGCTCGCACTGCTGTTTCTGGAGGCCCTGCATGTGCCCAAGGCTGTGTACCCCTTGGTGCTGCAGGCCAACAGCGGCCAGCTGCCACTGACGCTCGATCAGCTGAACAGCGTGATCGGGATGGTGCGGCAGCAGGGCCACTTCGCAGAGCACACCCACGCGGGACCTCAGAACTTGGCTGAAGGGTACCGCGGCAAAGGATATCATGGTCATCATTGGTTTACGGGCGAGAGCGACAGCGGCGCAAACACCTGGAACGACACGGCCGCTTATATGTATGGTCAGAACGCAGCCGGCGCGGCAGGGAGCGCTGGATCTACGTCCCAGCACTACGTGGTCCAGGACGACGAGGGCTACGACTGCTGCGCCGTCTGCTCGAGCTACCTGTACGAGGACGAGCCCGGGGACGAGGACTCGATGACCGACGGCGACGACTTGGACATTTCCCAGTTCACTCAGGAGGAGCTGCAGGAGTATTATGGCGACTCCGAGGGCTGGGACTACGACACCCTGCTACATGAGTACCTGTTCGCGAAGCGCAGGTTTCGCCACTTCGTCCAACGGAACAGCCGCCGCTCTCGCTTCCCGCGCAGCAACTGGTCCCTCCGCATGAGCAGCGGCAAGGGCGGCAGCAGCTTTGGACGCGGGCGAGGCCGCGGCAAGGGATACCACTTCGGCGGATCGGTGGTGAACCCAGGCTCGCTGGCGGGAGGAAAAGGCAAGAAGAAGAAGGGCGGCAAGCACTACATGGCAGGCACGCCCGGCGCCACCAATCCCCGAGGCAGGGACGGCCGCACCATGCGGTGTCACGAGTGCGACTCGGAGACCCACCTCGTGGCCGCCTGCCCCAAGCGCAAGGGCAAGGGCAAGGGCAAGCACTTCATGTCCTGGAACGCTGGCAGCGCCGCGACGGGGACGCAGCAGGCCGGGGCTCCCGCCGCCGACCCAACGTTGGCCGCCTATGCGCCCGTGCCCACGCAGCCGCGGACTGGAGCCTTGTCTGGAGTGCTGCATTGGTTCGCTGAGGACGCCCGGACGCCTGGCCTGCAGATCGACGACCTTGACGAGGACACCTTCCGCGAGGCTCTGAGCTGGGAGACCCTCGACATGCGCGACAACGTCGCGGAGCACGACATACTGACGGAGATCCAGGCCAGCATGCAGGACCGAGCTGTGGAGGAGCAGCCTCCGGTGACAGCTGGGCGATCAGCGGCCGTGACCAGCCCAACATGGTTCCCATGGTGGCGAGTGGATCAGTTCGAGAACGCTGGCGGGGAGACCTACTTGGTTCGCACCCGCATGAAGGACAGGAGCGGCGAGGCCCTGCTGGTGGACCCCGGGAGCCCAGGCAACCTTACTGGCGACGAGTGGGGCAACAGGATGGCAGCGCGACAGCAGCAGGCAGGACGTCCACCGCCTGTTCGCACCCCACTTGACCGGGTGCTTGAGGTTGGTGGTGTGGGCTCAGGATCTCAGCAGGCCACGCACGCCCATCGCTATCAACTGGCGCTGCAGGGAGGGCAAGCCGCGACCTACGAGGCGCCGGTGCTCCCGAACAGCAGCGTGCCGGCACTGCTCGGGCGAGCATCGCTGCGGGACCAGCGCATCCTGCTCGACTGCTTCAACAATCGGATGTACCGCATCGGCCCGGGCGGCTACTCCCTGCAGCTGAGTCCAGGATCATCGCAGTACCATCTGGAAGAGAGCCACGCCGGTCATCTCATGCTGCCCTGCGACCTCTACGACGAGACGGGAACATCGGGGAGTTCGGGACCCACGAGGACGATGGCATTGGCGACTTCGACGACATCCGGTCCGACGTCCTTGCCCGCAGCGACCGCACCGACTCCCGCATCTACCAGGACGGCGAGCAAGAAGACCACCACTGCGACGCCAACCGGCAGCGGCGCCGCAGCAGACAGCGCCAGCGGGCAGCCCGACGCGGGCAGCCTGCACCTCTGATCGAAGACACCCCATCTCGGTGCTCGGGACGGCGGGGGCACCAGGGAAGTACAGGGGAGACCGCCATCGGCATGGGTGTTCGGCGACTTGCAGAACCTGTGCCAGAATGCGCTGCGCGGATGCGGATATGCGGTGGGTCGCAACTGTGATGTTCACAGATTCCTCGGGCAGGAGGATAAGTGGGCGGATTCCCTGCGCCACCAGCAGCCGGAGCTCGTTTGGATCAGCCTGGCTCAGCCGGGCACGTCGCGAGGCACCCGCAACGACAAGCGAGCCAAGCGTTTCGAGTGCAAGATCGCTCGAGCTCAACTTGAAGGGCATCGCTGCTGCATCGTCGAGGCGGACGAGGGCAGCGCGGTGTGGGACATGCCCGACATCCTGGAACTGCTGGACGACAGGAGGTGGCACGCAGGACGACTAAGATGGTGCAATCTCGGTGTGCGCGATGCTCGAGGATCACCAGCAGCGCAGACTACGCGCATCGTCAGCAGCAGCTACTTCGACGACCACGACGCGAAGTGTCGCTGCGGCTGGCCAGCAGGCCGACATGTTACACGGAAGACTGCTGCAGATCGGTTGGACTTCAAGGCCAGAGGGGTATCTGCTCTGGTCAAGCGGATGGTGGCCGCTGGTTGCTTCGACGGCGGCGCGAGATCCGACGCAGCCGACGGATTGTCGCCATCTGCGACAGCTACATCACGCCGTGAGGCCGGGGGTGATTCCCGACCCGGGTCGTCAAGGACGGATCCGACGACTACCGGGCCTCCAGGATCTCGGACAGCGGCCTTGAGAGAAGCCGACGAGGAGCAGTCACGAGGTGAGCGACGTCGACCTGGCCGAGTATCATTCGCGGACGACGTCGACGAGACCGGCTGCAAGGTGAGCGCGCTGACCGCGAGTTTTCCCACCGAGCAGAGGACGCGCGACAAGGCGCGCAAGGCAGCGGACCCGGAGCGCAAGGTGAAGAAGAGGCCACAGACAGTGGAGCAGGTCTTCGACGATTGCGGCTCCGATTTCACGAAACTCTACGTGGCGAACGAGTACGAGCTGGACGAGGTGTGCTACGGCACCGAGCTCAGGGAGGACCAGTACATCGACGAGCAGCCGTACATCATGATGTCCGAGTTCTTTGGCATGATCGGCTCGGAGGCGCACCTGAACGAGAAAGACGAGCAGCAGAACTTCTTCAGCTCAGTCAAGGATATGGACACATACATGAACCTCTACTACGGCCACCTGCAGCACGACGACGTCGCGGAGTTGTGCGGCGGCGCATCTGGAACAACCCGGTTACTCGTGCGACGAGGATATCGGGGCGGTCCCAACTTCGACCTCATTTGCGACTGCAACTTGATGACGCACGAGGGCCAGAGGCAGTTTTGGGAATATCTGTATCATCGCAAGCCTCTTGTCTTACTTATTAGCACGCCCTGCACGAGCTTGAAAGGGTTTTCGGCGCTCAACAGGGTCATCAACTACGACGGTTGGCTCCGCAGTCGCAAGACATCAGTGGGGCTGGCCCGCATCGCCGCTGCAGCGGCGTGCACTCAGATGGACGCCGGCCGCCACTTTGCTTCGGAGCAGCCGCTGGGCAGCGACTTCTACAAGCTCGACGACTGGCAATACATCGCCAACAACTACGCGGTGGTGTGGTGCCAAGTCGACCAGTGCATGGCCGGCAAGATCGGGCGGCGAACGGGACTCCCGATCAAGAAGTCCTCTGAGTTCTGGGCTTCGGACGAGCGCCTGATCGCCGGACTCAGGAAGTTTCGCTGCGACGGCCAGCACGATCACGCTTTGCTGGCCCATGGTGGCCGAGGACCCCATCCAGAGCGTGACAAGTGGCGACTAGAGAACCCCAAGGATCACGCGGAGTGGGCGATTGGCATCTGCCGGGAGCTGGCAGCGAGCATTTCCCAGATGGTGGAGCGCGTGAGGTATCAGGGACACCACCTCGTTGTGTACGAGTGCTACCCCACGGCTGCTGTACAATCCAGACCAGCTGGCTCCTCTGCTTCCTCGGCGCCTGCGGCGCCGCAGCACCAGCCTCTGGAGCAGCAGCAGCCGCAGCACCAGCCTCTGGAGCGGCAGCAGCCGCAGCACCAGCCTCTGGAGCAGCAGCAGCGGCAGCACCAGCTTCAGGAGCAGCAGCAGCGGTAGCACCAGCAGCAGCATCAGCAGCAGGAGTACCGCGCGCTGTGCAGCCGTGCGCAGGATGTCGGCATCATCGGCCGGCTGACCATCCATCCCACGATCGAGGGGAGACATGCAAGCATAAATTTGTGCCGACGAATCGCGACCTGAAGTGCCCGGCGTGCCGGAGTGGTCGCGCGGCCTCAGACACACGACATACCCGAATACCTGGAGAATGCCGAGCAGACCGTGTTCTCCCAAGAGCAGTTGGACCTCGAGAGCTGCGACCGAGACAACCACCAGCCTCCGAGGAGCCGACGGCGAATCAGGCACCGAGCGCCGCGCGAGCCGACGCGCCAGATGCCGAACCTGAACCGCCACCGCCTCCACCTGCGCCTGCGGAGCGTCGACCTCGAGTGGCTCGAGCGACAGCGGCGGCACGGCGACTGCGATCGCGTCTGCCAGCAGCTGGAGAGGCGGAGCTGGACGAGGCATCAGGTGGCGCCTCGGGATCGGCGGACGCCATCGGCGAGGCACCCGTCGCGGAGCAGCCGGCTGCGGCCCCAGCCGCACGAGCCCGAGGCGTGGATGCGGGGACGCAGGCTCGAGGCAGTGACGAGCCAGGCTGGACCGCGTTTGACCTCGGGCACGCGCTTCGACTGCTGCACAGCCCACACCAGGAAGTCGTTCGGCGCCAGCTTCGACGACTTCATGTTCGATTTTGGCACGCTCCAGCAGCTCGCCTCAGAGAGCTGCTGACCAAGGCCGGCGCTCCTGCATCTACGCTGGCCCTGGTGAAGGAGATCTGCGACACGTGCCGGGTGTGCAGGCTATGGACGAGACCGGGACCGAAGAGCATGACGATCTCTCGGCTCGCGACGGGCTTCAACGAGATGGTGCAGTGGGACATCCTCTACATCGGCGAACAGATGGTGGCCCACATGATCGATGAGGCGACACGCTGGACAGTGCTTCACATTCTGGACCGCAAGACAGCGATCATGATTATCGCCGGCATCACCCAGGGATGGCTACGACCTCATGGCCCCATGAAGCTGCTGATTGCCGACATCGAGGGCGGCCTCCATGGCGAGGAGGCGTACCAGTGGCTGGACCGCTGGGGCATCGAGATGAAGGCCAAAGAGGAGGGCTCGCACGCGCAGCTGGTGGAACGCCATCACGACTTGGTGCGCAAGATCATACACCGTGTGCAGGCCCAGCTTGCGGAAGAAGGCATTGTGATGCCGTTGGAGATCGTGATTATGGAGTGTGCCCTCATCAAGAACCTCCTCATCACCGTGGCTGGCTACAGCCCCTACCAGGCGGTGTACGGCCGGCTTCCGCCCCTGCTCGCCGAGTTCGAGCCGGTGAGCGACTGCCAGATTGACGACCAGTCGGCTGGCATCCCAGGGATCTCCCGACACCATCATCGGCTACGCGAAGTTGCAATGCAAGCCATGGTGGAGATGACCGCGAAGGACAGGCTGAGGCGCGCGCTTCGATCCAAGACGCGCGCCCCGCACGAGGCGCTGCAGCTGGTGGTCGGCGACCAGGTTGACTTTCACCGACCGCCGAGCACGAAGGAGGAGTCGGGGTGGCGCGGCCCAGCGACCTTGCTGCAGGTCGGACCTCCAGTGCTCATTCGATGGCAGGGACGAGTGTTTCAAGTACGACCTCAGGACCTTCGGCGAAGCCTCGTGTACTTCGTGATGTTCACGAATAACATCTTCTTCGAGGCAGGATCGCGCGACCCGGTGGCCACCATCATGAGCTACGCGGACCAGCTGGACAGCAAGGTCGTGCGCGTCGGGTGGCTCTTTGACGCCGGGTGGAAGCGGACCGCGGACAGCCAGAAGTTCAGCGAGTTGGTCCTGGCGGTGTTGCATGTTGCCGCCAGTGGCTTCTATCTGGTGGGCTGCGTCGGCGCTCGAGTGGGCAATGGCGTGTCCGTGCTCGAAGGAATGGTCGGATGCGACCACAGCTTCCTATGGTGGTGGCGGCGCGGACGCCCAGAGCTGTCCTGGTACCACGAGGCGTCGGGTTCTGCTCGATTGAAGTTGGCTCCGATATTTGGCAAGGAACACTGGCGGGACGTTAGCTTTGTGCAGTTCATCATGACGGACGACGAGTCTGTTCGTGAACTTCGGCGACGTGAACCCGAGGTCCCGCATCTTGGGGGTCCGTGGTTCGGCAACCTTCCACACGCACGACGGTATGAACAGCCAGAGCGACCTGAACCCGGACCGTTTCAGGAGCCGCCGGAGCTTCAGGAGGAAGACTTCGACATGACCTGGCAGGACAAGCCGATATCCGACACGAGCATACCGAGCGCATCTAGACAGACAAGTGCATCAATGCCAGTGCCCGACACGAGCATATCGAGCGCATCCAGGCAGACGAGCGCAGCATCGGATTCGACGAGGAGTCGGAGCAACCGAGGGCAACATCGACCACGAGGGCCTTCCCCTGCTCCGGCCGCTGCCAACACCACCGTGCCGCCTGTAAAGCCGCCTGTGAAGCCAGGCGGGGGTGCTCGAGAGAGATCGCGCTCACGTGATGGCCCGGATCGTGATCATGGAGCCCGAGGTTCAGGTGAACCAGCGGCGGCAGCTGGGGCTCCTGCACCCCTGCGTGAGCCAGTGCTCCCGATCAAAGATGATGGTGGCGAAGACGACGACGGCGACTCGGACAGCGACGCGACCCAGGAGTACTCGTTCGCGAGCTGGCAGCACATGAGGGAGCAGGCCGCACTGCCTGCTGTTGACACCGAGTGCGCTCAGAGCGACTTCTTCTTCGCAGCCCCGGACGCAGATCACGTGGCGGAGGCAGTAGAGGATGATTCTTCGAATTCCCGACCCGACTGCGTCGAGATCGGCATAGGTGCGCCGCTCATGTACTGGGTGTACCCTGAGGTGGAGCACACACGACGCCCTGGAGCAGGTGAGATCTACGTCCTGCGCGTCTACAACACGGGCAAGCGCGAGATCGTCGTCGAGCGCGAGATGAACGTGCTCACGCTGGAAGAGGCCCGAGCTCACGCTGTCGAAGTACGTCAGGCCATGAAGGACGAGCTCCAGCGCTGGGCAGAGTTGAAGGCATTCCAGCGCTTCCCGAAGGACCAGGCGACCAACATCATCGACTCGCGCTGGGTGCTCAAGTGGAAGGAGATCGACGGCAAGAAGCAGGTGCGCGCGAGGCTCACGGTGAGAGGCTTCAAGGATATGCAGTCACCTGAGCTGTCCACCTTTGCGGGTACTACGACACGATGGGGCCAACGACTGGTGAACCAGGTGACGGCACAGCGCAAGTGGCGATTATTCTCAGCGGACATCAGCCAGGCGTTCTTGCGCGGCCTCACCTTCGAGCAGGTCGCCGCCATGGACGGCGAGGTGAAGCGGAAGGCACAGTTCACGATGCCGCCAGGATCGATTCCAGTCCTCCGGCAGCTGGAGGGCTACGAGGACTACAACCCTGTGACAGAGGTGTTGTTGCTCCTGCGCTGCGGTTTCGGCCTGAAGGACGCGCCGAGGCTGTGGCAGGTCATGTTGAAGCAAGTGCTGGAGAAGACAGGGGGCAAGGCGCTCATCAGCGACCCGCAGATCTACGTGTACCACGACGCTAAGGGAGAGTTGCAGATGATCATGTCCTCGCACGTGGACGACCTGAAGGGCGGCGGCGAGGACCACCTGCGGGAAAAAGTGCTGAGCATGATAGAGAGCGAGTTTGGGAAGTTGAAGCGCCAGTGCGACTGCTTTGAGTGCATCGGCATCATGCACGAGCAGGACCCTGTGACCAAGGCCATCTGGACGCATCAGCAGCACTACGTTCAGCAGCTGCGACCGCTCCAGGAGGACCAGTACGTGATGGAGAACGAAGATGGCCAGGTGAGCGTGGAGAGCCACGCGGCGTACATGTCGCTGCTCGGAGGAAGTGCATGGATGACGCAGACGATGGCGCCCATTGCAGTGTATGTCAGCTACCTCCAGCGGCAGGCCAAGAAGCCGGCGGTCGGAGACATCCGGAAGATCAACCGGCTGCTGAAGTGGATCATGGTGAACGCGAAGCAGCTCGGAGTTCGGTTCATCGAGTTGGACATGACCCGAGTGCGGCTGGCCGTCGTCAGCGACTCAGCCTTCCACGCCATGGAGTTCGAAGGCTTGGCGATCCGAGGCTGTGTGATCATGTTGCTGGAGGCTGACGACGAGGTGCTTCAAACTGGAACGACGTACAGGATCGTGATGCTTGACTGGTACAGTCGAAAGCAGAACAACGTGGTCAGGTCCACCTACGCCGCGGAGCTCATGGCGTTGTTGGACGCGCTCGGGACCGGCACTCTCATGAATGTGGCGATGACCGAGATCAGTGAAGGAGTATGCACGGCGAACCAGATGCGAGTGCGGCAGGAGGCTGGCGACCTGGTGTTGAAGATGATTGCTGCCATTGACGCGAAGGCAGTGTTCGACGCCATCTCCGCCGACACCATCAAGGTCACCACGGACAAGCGGATGTTCGTGCCGACGCTCGCAGCACGTGAGCAGATAGACCGCCTGCAGCTGGCGCAGCTCAGCTGGATCGACACCTTGGACATGCTGGCGGACGGGCTGGCGAAAGGCGAGCTCGACCAGACAGCACTCGTGAAGTTGGGCTTCAGCAGCGAGTGGCACTTGAGCGGGCTGCAGCCGGTTGCCTTCTCTGTGCGCAGTGTGCTGTAGTGCCGCGCAGAGCGCTAGAATTCCCGACCCGAGTGAAAGGGTGCAGGGGAGAGCGGGATATTTTGGCCACGCCTCCGCTCGAAGACATGCTTCAGATATACGCTGACTGCATGCGAACGCCTGGCGGGATATTTTGGCCACGCCTCCGCTCGAAGGCATACCACTCTTCACAGAGCGCCGCCGCATGCCTGCATTCTCCGCAGCCTTTGGCTTAGAGAAGGCGGCGCGCCCGCCGAACTGTCGACAGAGATTGAGGCGAGACCAGTCAAAGTTCAGCACATTTCAGCATGGTTATGATGACGATCATTTCTCTTGTGCGTGCTGCCTGGCCGTTCGGCCGCAAGGAGGAGGAGAGCACCAGAGGTCTTTCGACTCCTCCTCCTCCTCCTCCTCCTCCTCCTCCTCCTCCTCCTCCCCCTCCCCCTCCTCCTCCTCCTCCTCCTCCTCGGACTGCGTGTCGCCGACCCTCGCTGGGCAGGCGCGGCGCGCGGAGGCCTACCTGCAGACCTACGCCCAGCTGCCGGGCGCCGGCCCCCACGGGGCGCCCGCCGCGCCCGCCGCGCCGCGGCGGGACGCCCCCGCGCGGCAGGGCGGCTTCCTGCTGCGGGCGCCCGCGCGCGCCGCGGAGCAGTGGCCGCCCGCGGCCGCGCCCCGGGGAGCCGCGGGAGAGGCCCGGAGCAGCAGGGGTCGGCCAGGCGCAAGAAGAGTGACCTGTCGCCGGCGTGACCTTCTGGTGCGGGCCCAGACGGGTCCCCAGATGGCCGAGATCGAGGCAGCAGCAGCGGCTTGCGCGCCCAGGTCTGGTCACCCCGCGGCCCCCAAAAAGTCGCGCACCAAAGGTCACTCTTACCCAGGGTCACTCCTGCGTGTAGCCGACAGGGACCTCCCTCTCTCTCTCTCTTTCTCTCTCTCTCGCTCGAAGAGGAGTCGGGGAAGCGCAGGGTCTCAGAAGGCGACAGCCCACCCCCACCCCCAGTCCCGCCTCCCGTCCCCGAGCCGGCGATGCGAGGGGTCGGGACTGGGGGCGGGGGTGGGTTTTCTCCATGTGTAGCCCCGAAAAACCCACCCCCACCCCCAGTCCCGACCCCCTGCATCGTGGGTTCGGCGATCGGGTCTGGACTGGGGGTGGGGGTGGGTTTTCGCCTTTAGGACTCGAGTACGCCAGAACGCGGGCCGTGCCGGCGCTTTCTGACGGGTGCGTCTTGGGTTTGGGCGGTCCAGTCTTCGTGGGATGCCTACAGCGGGAGCTCGCGTCAAAGTTTGGATTGGGTCTCGCCATTTTCATGATGTCCCCGTCAGGCCAACCCGAGTCTTGCGTCTCCCTGGAAGAAGAAGAAGAAGAGGAAGAAGAGGAAGGGAAGCTGCACAAAAGCATACGTTTTCGACGATCCGCGTGGATTTTTCTTGGATCGGCGCCAGGGCCCCGCTGGCTGCGCCTCCGGCGCCGCCCCTGGCGCGCCTCCGGCGCGCCAGGGAGGGGGATCCAGCGCCGATCCGAGAAATCCGCGCGGACGTCCGAGAGATTGTACGTTTAGGCGTCTGTTGGTTTCCCTTCTAGCCTCGGGGACTTCCCTGAGATCCTGGCGTCGCTTCTTTTTCTTTGCCAACGGGCGCGTTCGCTCCGTTTCGGGCCCCGGGGCCCTCGCAGAGCGATCCGGCTCGAAAAGTGACGCCGAAGGATGGGGCCCGGGGCTCCGGCCGTGGTTTTGTCAGCGATGTTTTGCGTTTTTTTTGTTCGCAGCGTCGGATCTCGGGCTTCGAGTTCGAGGACTCCAGGGTTCGAGGGTCCTTCTCAGGAGCGACAGAAGGACCTGGCATCGCTCGGACGCGTGCATGTTTCCTTCGGCGAGGACCATCGAGGAGCACCCTTGATCATTTGGCGAAACAAACACGCACGAAACCGAGAAAAGCACAGGGAATATGGACGTCCGAGCGATGGCCAGAGAACGCACTGCGCGCAGGAGTCCACGCGGGTCTCGCGCAAAGTGCGGCCTGCGCGAGCCTCCGTGCTATGCGAGGCTGGCCTCGCGGACCTTGGGGGGTCGCGTTGTCAGGTACGTGGTTGGGGTTGAGTCAGGCTTGTCCCTTGTGGGCCCCGGAGACGGCAGGGCCATCTTTTCACCGTCTCCAGAAAGATGTCCCTGGACAATGGAAACGGCAAAAAAAACGGCGACCGGAAACGGCCAATAAACGGCTCCAGGATTGGAACCGGAGCCGGAAATTGTCAAAAAACGGCGAGGAACCGGTAAAAAAACGGCGTCGGAACCGGCAAAAAACCGGCAAAACGGAACCGGTAAAAAAACGGCCTTGTCGTCTCCAGGGCCCACTAAGGGCTTGTCCCTCCACAGGAGGAATCTTCAAACATAGTCAAAAAATAGTCGGGGGACGATGGATTGAGTACTATTTCGATCATTTTGAGTTTGGTCTTGCTATCTTTTGGTTTTCCTCGAACATCCGCCCGTAGGAGGAGGACATGCCCGACCTGAGGTGAGGGCTCGCGCGTCCTCTGTCAAGGGGAGGAGAAAGCCACCCGGACCCGACAATTGGCGTTCACGAAACGGCTTCGAGCGCTTACTGAACAGCCCTGCCCTGTTCGATTCATTCTCTGGGTGCGTTCACTGCACGACCTCGCGCGTCGGCGTGGTTATTCTCGGGGTGGGACCTTCTGCCCTCCAGACTCAAGTCGGGCCTGTCCCCCTACAGGGGGAATATTCCGAACTAGTCAAAAAATAGTCTGGGGACCCTTTTTGAAATATGTTTGTGGACCACTTGGGAGCATTTCTGGGGTACTTTTCATGTTTCGTCGGAAATCCCCTTGTAGGTGGACGCGCCCGACTTAGCTCCACACTCCGTGAGCTCCCCGCTCTGCGGACGCTCCCGTCCACTCGCCCGCGGCCTCTGGCAGCCTCGCGGGGGGTCGCGTTCTCATGTACGTGGTCAGGGTCGAGTCGGGCCTGTTTGATCCCGTCTCTGGGTGCGCTCCCTGCACGGCCTCGCGCGTCGGGGTGGTTCTCATCGGGGTGGACGTGCTGCCCTCTGCACTCTGCAGAGCTCCCCGCTCTGCGCACGCTCCCGCCCCCACCCTCGCCCGCGGCGCCTCCATGGCGGCCTCGCGGAGGTGTGCCCTCTTTGCCCGGAGAGGCCGCGCCTCGCCGCGAGCCCATCCTCCGGGGGCTGCCCGGGGGCCCGTCCCGAGCGGCCGCCTCTGTGGGAGCCGAGCTGCTCGCAGTCCCACAGCCTGTGGGACTGCGAGCAGCTCGACGGGATGCCTGTAGAGCAGAGATGCCTGTGGGACCCACAGGCATCTCTGCACGAAAAGCGCCGATCGGCTACTCGCATCCTTGTCAACTCCGTCTGCAGCGTCGGAAGGCGCCGATTGGCGTCTGGGAGTCGATGAGGTAGCGCCGATTCAGCGTCGGTTTGCGTCGATTTGGCATCGATTTCGCATCGATTAGCGTCGGTTTCGCATCGCATCTCTCCCTCGCTCGAAGAAGAGGAATCGCTCTCTCTTCTCTCCCTCTCTCTCTCTCTCTCTTTTTTTTCTCTCTCTCTCTCTCTCTCTCTCTCTCTCTCTCTCTCTCGCTCGAAGAGGAATATCATCCCTCTTCTCTCTCTCTCTCTCTCTCTCTTCTCTCTCTCTCTGTCTCTCTCTTCTCTCTCTATCTTTCTCTCTCTCTCTCTCTCTCTCGTCGGCACGAACGAACTGGGTACGGAAAGAATGGGTACAATGCCCAACAGCGGATCCGGTGCATTCTGAGCAGGACTCGCTGTCCGCGCCGCCGCGGCCTGTGTCCATTCGAGACAGAAGGCCGCCTGCCCAACAGCGGCCGCTGTTGGTTTGGGGCAACATTTGCTGTTGGGCATTGTACCCATTCTTTACGTGCCCATTTTGGGCGTCCAAATCATCGGCTCCTCCCTAAAAAAACGCGCCCCCCCTTCAACGGCAATCTGTTTTTCCGGACCCCCTTTGTCAACGGAGGGCCATGATATCCTGGACCCCCCTCGTCTTCGGTTTGAAAGAAGCCGCCCTGATAAACTGGACCCCCCCCGCTTCCAAAAGAGACGCCTGAAAAACCGAACCCTGGGGATGACGATTAGGGGATTTCGAACCTGACCCGAAAGCCAGCGGGCAGCGAGAGGGGAGCTCAGGGCGCATCGACTCCCGCCAATCGCCCATGCGTCGCTGATTCCAGGTCGATGCTGTCCCGTCCTTGATTTGTTCAATACAGGGTCCTTACCTTCGAGTTGTTTTCTGACGGTCCCAGGGCCTGGCGAGGGCCCCAAGAGTCCGAAAGTGGCAAGAAGCTGTCCGTCGCGACTTGTGGTCACCACGCCAGCACGCTCTGCGGCGGGGCTATCGGGCAGGGATACATTGCTCGAGACCGTGCCAGAACGCTCTCGAAGCACTCTGGAGCGCTCCAGAATGGCCGCGGCGCCCCCCACGCGTCCTTCAGAACCGCCGGATCTCAGAGGTCCCCGATTCGTCCCAGTCCGATGTTACCTCAGTCCACGGATTCGCCCCCAGACATCCGACGTGTCGAGTTTTTCTAGACGAGGGCCTCCGATGTCTCGACCACTTCCCCAGAGCCTGTTTTTCATCCCGACTCGTTTTTTGACGGTCCCGAGGCCCAGTAAGGGCCCCGAGAAGCCGAAAGCGATGAAGGAACTTCCGTCTCATTTTTTTTCGAGACGCCGGATGTTTGGGTCTTCTGTCTGCGTATCGCCCCCCTGCCGCCCAGGACGGCCAACCCCGCGACCTGCTCGTCGTCGTCGCCGCCGCCGCCGCCGTTCACGTCGTCGTCGTCGTCGTCGTCGTCGTCGTCGTCGTCGTCGTCGTCGTCGTCGTCGCGCCCAGGGCGGCCAGCCGTTTCTCCTTCTCCTCCTCCTCCTCCTGCGCACGAAGCAAGCGCGCATGGGGTCCGACCCCCACGAACGCCCGAAGGATGGGGCTTTGCCCACCCCGCGACCCCCTAGAGCTAGGGGCCGCCACGCCGACGAGGCGAGAGGCAGGAAGAAGCGAGAGCGAGGAGGAGGGGAAAAAAGAGGAGGCGCCGGCCTCACACGTGCTGCTCGAGCAGCACTGACCACCGATGGTGGCCAGCCCCTATGCCTCCCTGGCTCTACCTGCACCAGGGGACACAGGCTACCCCACGTCGCCGTGCGGGGCACACGGCGCGTGTTACCGCGCATGGGTAGCCAGGCCTGCTCCCCCCAGTCCCCTTGCCATAGGGGGACAGAGCAGGACACCCCTCGAGCCTGGCCGAAGCCAGACCCCCCCTCCACACCCTGGCGCGACCGGGGAGTCGCCGGGCCAAGACAGTGGAGGGGACCCGATTCGGCCGCAGCCGAATCGGGATTACCGTTTGGGTCCGAAGACCGGGGTCGGTGCCCCCACACAGGCCACGACTGAGCGGGTTTCAGTTCCCCCGGACGCCGGTAGGTGCCGCCCACATCAACCGGCTGCCCGCCCGGGGGCTTCCTCCTCCTCCTCCTCCTCCTCCTCCTCCTCCTCCTCCTCCTCCTCCTCCTCCTCCTCCTCCTCCCCCTCCTCCTCCTCCTCCTCGCCGTCGTCGCCGCCGTCGCCGTCGCGCCCAGGGCGGCCAGCCGAGCGACCTGCTCGGCAGCAGCGGCTACCCCGTGTCCTCCGCGAGCGACGGGCCCCCCCCGGCGGACCCCGGCGCCCCCCCGCGGCCCGCCCCGGCGGGCCCGTCGGCGCTGAGCAGCGGCGCCTCGGAGCGGTCCGAGAGGAGCGGCGCCCTCGTGGGGGTCCGAGGAGGCAAAAATTAGGCACCGAGGCCGCCACCACTGCCAGAGAGGATCGCGTCGCAGAGGAAAAAGCAGGGCGGGGGATTTTTGGGCCCATTGCGGCCTCGGGGGGCCCTCGCCGGGCCTCGGGGCCGCCAGGAGACGATGCAGGATGAGAATCTGGTCCCGGGGAAAGGGTCGGGACTTCCAGGGACCCCGTATTAATTGAAACAATCAGGACGTCGCATGTCTGGGTTCCCCTCTCGGCGGCGAGCCCAGGGGGCCTTCCCGGAGAAGACGCACATAATGTCTCAGAAGGCCGGAGCGCGTCTGAGAAGCCCCGTCGCCTTCTGAGGGGGTCTTGCTCCTTTTCACTTCCCCCCCTCGCTCGCCCCCGACCCTCAGATTTTTTCGAGCCGGGCGTTTCCGCCCGGTTTCGGGCTCCGGGACCCTCACATATCGATCCGGCTCGAAGAACGGCGCAGAAAGACAGGAACCATGGCTCTGGTCGTGATTTTTGTGCGAAGCTCCACATTTTTCAGCGTTGGATCGCAGGGTCCCTTGCTTTCGCTTTCTTGGACCTCCTGGGAGGCCCTCGTCGCCACCGCTGGACTCGCCTCGAAATCCTGCTCAGAACGCACCCCTGGAACCCACCCTGGGAGAGGTCTGGGGAGCACAGTCGAAACCGATGGTAAGGATGGGTAACCTTTTCAAGGCTACCCTTGCATCCTTGCCGCTTTGGTCCATCCTTGGCTACTTTCGATGGCCCGCCGCGCTCCCAAAAGCCTCACAACACAGGCGTCCGAGGGGCTTGCGTCCTCAGCGCGCATCCTTGCTATCAGTTTTGATTGTAGCGGCCCCGGCACCTTTTGGTCCCCTCCAGGGGGTCCCCGGCTGCACCGGCGGCACCGCGGCCGCGCTGCTGCGGGAGGGCAGCTTCAGCACCCAGCGCACGACCTCCTCCCCGCCCGTGCCCGAGGCGCCCGGCTTCGGGGAGGAGCTGCCGCTGCCCGGCCTGCTCCCCCGCGCGCGCACGGAGCCGCCCCCCGCGGCCAAGACGCCCCTGCCGCACATCCCGGCGCTGAACCTGGGCGCTGTGGGCGCGGTGCCCCAGGCCCCTAAATGCTTGGCATCGCGCGGAGGTGTGTATTTCTTTGCCGGCAAGCACCATCGAGGAACATTTGAGGTCATCCTGCGAAAAGGCACGCACGGAACCGAACGGTGCACGGGGAACGGACGTCTGAGCGATGGCGAGAGTGGGGTCCAAGCAGACGGGGTCGAAGGATCGTGCCGCATCGCCCGTGCATCGGCGGTGCGACTCGATGTGCAGCGCTAGTTTCTCCACGTCGACGTCGACGGTGCATCGACCCCACTTGGGAGGCCTCTAGTCACCACCCACCAACCCACCCCAACCCAACCCGAAGGCCCCGATTTGCCCTCCATTTCCAGTGGGGGGGGTCTGGGAACATTGAAAAAACACAGATGGAACCCGTACCCCCCCCCAACCCGAAATTCGTGTCTTCGGGTTGGGTTGGGGCGGTCTGGTAGATACTCATCTAGGTGCCCCCGCCCGCCCGCCCAGCCCACGAGCCCGCGCCGCTGGAGGGCAGCTCCGCGCTCACCCGGGGCGGGGGCATGACTGCTTCGGGCGGCACGGGTGCCCCGCCCGCGGACTGGGCTGCCGGGGGGCAGGAGGCCCTGAGCCTTCCAGGAGGTGGAGGAGGAGGAGGAGGAGGAGGAGGAGGAGGAGGAGGAGGAGGAGGAGGAGGAGGAGGAGGAGGAGGAGGAGGAAGGAGGAGGAGGAGGAGGAGGAGGAGGAGGAGGAGGAGGAGGAGGAGGAGGAGGAGGAGGAGGAGGAGGAGGAGGAGGAGGAGGAGGAGGAGGAGGAGGAGGAGGAGGGAGGAGGAGGAGGAGGAGGAGGAGGAGAAGAAGGCCCGGAGCCTGAGCCTTGCGAGCCTGGGCGCGGACTCGGAGGCCACGCTCCACGAGACCCCGCCGCCGCTCGGGGCCGCCGCTCACAGCCAGGGGCCCGCGCAGGGCGGCGCGCTGCCGCCGTTCCTGGCCTCGCCGCCGCCACCGCCGCCGCCGCCGTCGCCGCCTCGTCGTCGTCGTCGTCGTCGTCGTCGTCGTCGTCGTCGTCGTCGTCGTCGTCGTCGTCGTCGTCGTCGTCGTCGTCGTCGTCGTCGTCGTCGTCGTCGTCGTCGTCGTCCTTGTCGTCGTCGTTGTTGTCGTCGTCGTCGTCGTCGGCGTCATCGTCGTCGTCGCGCAGGGCTTCGCGGCCGGGCTCCCCGACGGAGCGGCCCCGCCGCCTCTCGACGCTCCGCCCGCGGGGCGGCCCGCCCCCAAGCCGGCGGCGGAGGCCCGCGCGGGCGCCGCGGGCCGCACGCCCTTCAGCGGCCTGCTGGGCACGGCGCTCCCGGGGCACGCCGCGCTGGCCTCCATGCCGGGCGCCATCCAGGACTTCGCCCACCAGGACTCGGGGCGGGCGGCAATGCGGGGGGGGTGAAGCCCACACAGTGAGGGGCGTGAAGGCAGGGGCCCTCCAAGGGGCACTCTGGGGCCCCTTCTTGGGCCCCGGAGCGCTCCTCCTCAGGGCCCTTTGCAGCTCCCCCCAAGCAGGTATCCCCCCCCCCTTGCCACCCGCCCGAAGGACCCCTTCCTCTCCCTGATCGGCAGGGGCTGACGGGGCCGCGGGCGGCGCGCGCCGCGGGTGGGGCGAAAAGGGGTGCGATCGGCGGGGTCGGGGGGATCGGAGGGGGACGAGCATTCGAGTTTTTTGCCCGGCGTCTGCCCGGCACGGCGTGGGTGCTAATGCGTATGTGCGTTGGCGCGGGATGCGTTTTTGGCCGGGGCGTGCGAGAGCACCTTCGCGCCCCTTCATCCAATCCGCTGCTGCTCGGAGTCCGCGGAGGGCGAGTTGAGACAACGGCATTTGGCCTTCGGGGGGGGGCCCTCGTCGCCACGGCCGGACGCAGCGCTCAAGACTGGTGCGTGCGGACCCTGGGAGAGGTCCGGAGACCGGCTCTGAGCTGCCATTGCCTCGCCTCCCACTGCTCTCGAAGAAAAAGTGCTGCACAAGCATAGTAACCTGTCGGAGGTCCGCGCGGATTTCTTGGAACTTTGCTGGACCCCCCTGGGGGCGGCGCCGGACGCGCTGCCAGGGGGTGCCGAGTGCCAGTCCGAGAAGCCCGCGCGGAGGTCCAAGAAGTGCTTGTTTATGCAGTTTGTTCTTCCTCTGATGTCGGGGGCGGAAAAGACGGGGGTGATGACTAGGGGGGGGGGATATCATGGCGTGGGCCATGATATTTCCCCAGATCTCATGGCGCCTCTTCTTATTTCATTACGTGCCTCGGCCCCCCCAGGGGCCGCGCACATGCCGCCGGCTATGATTTGCGTCCCCCCTCTTTGACGCCCCCCACGCCCCCGATAATGCTCCGGCGGAATCACGCAACGCATGGCTCTGGCAGGGTGGTGGCCACTGGGCCGCATAATTGGCGCGGACGTACTGTGCCGCCCGGCCGGCCGGCCGCGCGAGCTCCACCGCCGTCCAAAAAGGTGCACCCCGGCGGCAGACGGCCACAGGCAGCCTGTGAGAGGAGCGAGGAGAGCATGGCATTGTGTGTAGGGGGCCACACGCGAACCCTACCCCTGCCCCCCACGACTTCTGGGGGGGAGGGGTAGGGTTCGCGTGTGGCCCCCTATGTGTTGCACATACGGGAGACCAGACGGGAGGCCATACGAAAGGTCGCACGGCCGACCACACGGGAGACCACACGGGAGACCGCTCGGGAGACCGCACGGGAGACCGCGTCTGGAAGGGCGCACGCCCAGCCTGAAAAGGAAGCATGGTCCCGGCAGAGCACGCGGACAGCAGCAGAGGTGACAGGAGGCGGGTCGGGGGAGCAGTCAGAGCGTGAATTACCTACCCCGCTTTCGCTTCCAGACAAAACCAAGTCATACCACGCGCCTCCTGGTCAAGCGACCTGTTTGGAAGCGAGGGTGGTCAAAAGCGAGGTAGGTTCGTTTGCCTCCTAAGCAGGAGAAGCACGGCCCCGGGGAAGCCTTGAGAGAAAGAGCGTGCGTCGCCGGGACACGGGGTGAGAGCACGGCCATTATCTGCACCCTGGCGCATTCGATTGCAGGGGCTCGTGGCCGTCTGGGCCACAAGTGTAGCCGGCATTGAGGCGAGAGCACGGTTCCGAAAAAAGAGTAATAACACCAACAATAACAGTATGATTAAGAATGTTATTATTAATAATAATGAAGACGAAGAGGAAGAACAATACTAACAATTGTACTAGCAATAGTAACCAAGTAGTACTAACAAGAATGCCAGCCATACGAAGATTATACCAACAATACGCATAAACATCATACAAACAGTACGAATGCTAACATGAATCATATGAATGCGATTCATAGCACCACCCATGGACTAACAGTACTACGCATGGGGATAACAAGACTAAGAATGGCTACGAATTGTACTACGCACGGATGCCTCGAGCGCCGCGGCTGTCAAGGCTTGGGCGCGCACGGGCTCCCCGTCCCCCCCCCCCCCCTGGGAGGACCCTTCGGGTGCTGTGTTTGCTGCTCCCTGGCAGCGCCGAGAGAGCCCCCTCTCGGGCGAGGCGCTCCTCGGGAGCGCCTTCTCTGGCGAAGCGCTCTTCGGCGAAGCGTGCCTCGGCGAGACGCTCCTCCCGGCGACGCGCTCTTCGGCGAAGCGCTCTTCGGGGAAAAAGCGCCCCTCCCGGCGAGGCGCTCTCCGGGAGCGGTGCAGGACGACGTGCCGCTTGGGGACACGGCTTCTGGCGATTGCCTTGAGCCGCGCCTGTCGCTCGACAGGAGGAATATTCAAAAACAGTCCAGAAAATCGATACGGGGACGATTTTTGGAGCACTTCTTGATCATTTTTGGGCATCGTTGGGATATTTTTGGTTCTTTGCCCAGAATCCCCCTGTGGGGGGACACGCCCGACCGGACGATCGCTGTCTGCTCTGCTGGCGCCCGCGCTGCCGGCGTGCTCTCTCCTCCGCCTTCTTCCGCCTCGCCCCCAGTTTGCTCCCCTGCCCTCTTCGCCTCCTCCCCCCTTTTCGGCGTTTCGCCTCCCCCCCTCTCTTGCTCGTCTCCCCTCCCGCGACCGCCGCGATATGAGCGACGCAGACAAGCGGGGGCCGCCTGCACGGACGTTCGCGCGTAAGCCGCCCGCGTCAGGTCGCGCGTAAGCGCTCTCGTTTCCACTGCGGCGTGCCGCGCTGGCGGCCCGCGTAAGCCGTGGCGTGAGGTCGCAATGTCATCTCGCGTGATGGTGATGTTGATGATGATGTTGGTGCTGATGCTGATGCTGATGTTGATGATGATGTTGATGCTGATGCTGCTGCTGCTGCTGATGATGATAGTGATGGTAACGTTGATGCTGATGCTGATGATGATGCTGATCCTGATGCTGCCGCTGATGATGGTGGTGGTGATGTTGATGATGGTGATGGTGATGATGATGTCGATGTCGATGTCGATGCTGATGCTGATGCTGACGCTGGTTATGATGCTGGTGATGCTGCTGCTGACGATGGTGCTGGTGGTGGTGGTGATGATGATAATGTTGATAATGACGACGGCGATGACGATGCTGATTCCGATGTTGGTGGTGGCGACGATAGCGATGATAGTGGTGGTAGTGATGACAATAATGATAATGATGATGACGATAATGATAATGGTGATGATGGCGATGATGATGATGATTATTAGGAGGAGGAGGATCGTGCTGACGCTGATGCTGATGCTGATGATGCTGATGATGGTGGTGGTGCTGATGATGCTGATGGTGATGCTGCTGCTGATGATGCTGCTGCAGATGCAGACGGTGGTGATGATGATGATGTTGATGATGATGCTTGTGATGACGATGCTGATGGTGATGGTGGTGGCGGTGCCGGTGATGCCGCTCATGTCGGGCGCCCCGCCGCCCCTCCCATGACCACCGGGCAGCGGCGCCTCCCGAGCCGCGGCGCCCTGCTGCAGCATTGCGCTCGGCCTGCCCGGGCCGCCTGCGCTCGCCTGGCCGCGACGGTGCGGCTGGCTCCGGGCAGCGCGTGCCTCGGGCAGCCTGGGTTCAGTCTTTGCCCATCCCCTGGTGGAGGCAAGCGGTTAAGACAATGTCCCCCCGCGTAGTGGACTGAGAAGGGGAGGTCCTCTGCCCGCATGGCCGCCACAAATGTTGTTCAGACTGGATTGCGAGTATGCAGAGGCGCGGGGCCATACATCTTGTCAGACACTGACTGCAACAGGAGGGGGAGGGGGAGGAGGAGGAGGAGGAGGAGGAGGAGGAGGTTGAGGAGGACGATGATGACGTTGACGACAGTAGAAGGAAAGGGTAGTGGGGGTAAACGATTCAGAAAATGCCCCACCCACCCATCCCCGCCCCAGGGGCCCCAAAATGAATGAGTGGGGCAGACAATTGGAACTCAGCCGCCAGAAATTGTTGTTTTAATCGTCCGCCCTCCTGGCGTTCTATCTCGCCGCCTTCACCATATGCATGACCATGCCTCCTGCACAATAGCAACGATGCCGACAACGCCAGATGCATCGGAAATCGCCTGCACACTATGAACACCAACGGTGCCGACAACGCCAGAAGCAACGGATCCGTGTAGGAATTTTGTGCAACCGCTTCGGCCGAAAAATCGGAAGCGCTTCGGACACCTATTGTGCTCGCTCCTCTGTGCCGCGCTCCTTTCCCTCCCTCCATGCCTCTCTCGCTCCCTCCCCTCCCCACCCTCCTTCTTCCCTTCCTCATCGCCCTTGTATCTGGAGTGCATCAAGGGAAAGGGGAATAGTATTCGTATTGAAAAATTGTGGAGGAACAATAGCTTGCAGGGGGAATGTAAAAAGGGATGGACGAGCGAGGGGAAGGAGGACAATGATGATGATGAGGAGGAGGAGAACAGGAAGAGCTGGGGGAGGATGTCGCTGTCTGGAGGCGGCGCAGAATGTCTACTTTCTGCGCAGGGCTGGCGGGTCAGAAATTTCTACTTCACATTCAGGGCTGGCCAAGAACAACTCCCGCGGCCTCGACTTGTTCGCCCCTGCGAATTCGAATCGTCAGCCCGCGAAGGCCTTCCCAGTTTTTCTTTCCCTGGCTCTGAATTGACCTTCCGCCTCCCCGCCCTGAGTTGTCAGCCCGCGCTCCCCCCCCCGGGCCCCCAAAGAACCCGGAATTGTCCGCCCTCCGTCTGCCTGTTCCGCCCCCCCGCCCTGAATTGTCAGTCCGCGCTCCCCCTCTGGGCCTCCAAAGATCCCGGGATTGTCCGCCGTCCGTCTGCCT